ACCGGGGAGGGAACCGGGGAGGGCTCCGGGAGGGAACCGGGAGGGCACCGGCGCTGCCCTCGGTCCGAAGCTGCCGTTCCCGGGCGGAAGCGGCTCCCGGCGCCGGAGCCCGGCCAACTTTTGAATCTCCGCGGAGCCGGGAAAGGCGCCGAGCGGAGCTGCCGCCGGCTTGGGCTCCCATCCCGCAGCGGGCAGAGCAGTCCCGTCCCTCCCGCCGACCCCGGGCTGTGGTCAGCCCTCTCCCCCTCCTCCCTCTCCCTCTCCCATCCCCCTGCTCCCCGTACCCGCTGGCCTGGCGGCCGGGCTGCAGACCGCGCTGAGGCTCAGAGCCGCCGCTTTCTCCCGCACCGTGGCCATGGCTCCGCGCATYTGCCGCGCCGCTGGAGCCCGCGTTATAAAGAGCCCGCGGGGGCGGAGCCGCTGTGGCCACGCCCATGGGAGGAGCCCGAGCCCGGGTAGAAAGGGCAGAGACCGCCCGAGCACTGCCCGGCTGCTGCCAGCGAAGCTTCATTTCCACGAGCAATCACAGCATCGTGGGCAGGAGAAGACAGAACCTCGAGAAATCATCCAATCCAATCCCCCTGCCGAGGTCACCCCGAGCAGGTGACACAGAAGGTGTTCGAGTGGGTTTGGAATTCTGTTCCAGTGCTCTGCTGTCCTCAATGGAAAGAAGTTTTTCCTGATAGCGCGGTAGAACTTCTTGTGTTCTAGTTTATGGCCRTTGCTCCTCGTCCTGTCACTGGGCASCAYCAAAAAGAACACCTGTCTTGGCACCTGWCTTTGAGATGTTGGCAGGCATTGATGAAACCCCCTCACAGTCTTCTCTCCTTGAGACTAAACCTGCGGTCTCTYCTCTTAMGAGAGATGTTCCAGATCCCTCATCATCTTTGTGACCCTCCACGGGACCCTCTCCTTGTCTCTGAGCACAGAGAAAAAGGAACTTACTCAAACTGTAGTAAAATGCCTACAAAAATGAAATTTCATTTTGTTTCCTCATGTGCAAGTGTTTGCTCAAGGATAAGGATGATGATAAAGGATAATGACCTTGTCTGATCATGGGGGGAGAGAAGGCAAAAKGGAAACTTGCAGCTCACAAAGTGAGGAATGATGCACACCTTCATGCAAAATGCTGCCTCACTTTTTCCATAGCAAACTTGGAAGCCGGGAAAATTGTAATTTCCAGATATTCTAGGCACAAATGATGGACATATAATTGGATATAAGACCTTACAAAATACAAACATGAGTGTGTGATTAAGTATTTCAGGATCACTATCAAAAAGATAAAAGTTGGTGGCTGCATCACCTCAGAGATGGAGGCATGTTAATAGAAAATATGGGGTGCTGCTGTTTTATCTATGGCAGATCAATGTTTGGTTAAGTGACGGAGAAATCTGATGTGTTTTTCAATGTAACACAGGAAAAGGTTTAAATTCCATAATTTTTTAGAAACTGAAAGGACACCAAACCTGGAACATGAACTGTCCTAAAACCAAAAAGTGTACAGTGTTTCATTAACTCARCTTTTCAATGTTAAAATCAATATTGACTTGTCACTGAAAATTGACTGAGAAMTARAGGGATTTTTGCAGAACAATACCAYCCAATTTCTTATTTTCAAAAGAAKTTAGATCCCACTTTTCTGATTGGTAAAYACAGAACTTTGCATTTCAAATGCTTATATTACACCTCAAACATATCAGAAGGCTCTCTCTTCTATACCAAACTTTATTCTTGAGATTTCAAATGTCTTCCCATAACAATAAAGCTTTAAAGATTAAGTTTATATCAACGTAGCTTAAATGTACAGATACATTGAATATTTTGCCATTATCATCAGGATCTGTTGAACCCAACCTTTGTCTGTTTCTGAAAAAGCACAGCAACTAATAATTACCATAAAAATTCAGAAAAATATTCCAGTTATTTAGAACARTTACACTTCTGTTTTTTCCCCACTTAAATATCAACAATGCCTGTATTCACCACAGTGGTGAAGTTGATGAAAGGAGAACATTATAAAGAGTAACCCTTAAAATGTTGCTCCATTCCATTCACAAATGTCGAGACAAATTAAAGTTCAGCATATGGTTCACTATCACACAGAGATACTCATGGAAGGGCAAATCAACCGCTCCTGTTACAGAAATTGCTACAATTATCATTTCCTGAAGATGCAAAGGCCACTTTATTAACAAAAGGGTTTTAATAATGAAATGGAGCTGTAAAAATTGGAAAATCTTCTCTCTCAAATTGAAGAAAATGGACAGCTATTCGCACAATATCAGATTGCAAAGGGCTTTCTGACAAGCTGGACATGTCTGAAGGCAGGTGACAGAGCTGCCACAGTGAATCTCATTTATTACTGCTGCAGGTAAWTTTGAAGCTCAGAGCACGAGGATTGCTCGGGACTGAATTCGGGCTGGAGAGGACAGACACTCTCTCTTAGGATGCAGAGTGGGGTATTCACAAATTCACTCTGCTTAGTCCCCTTTCCCATGACTTTTGAAGGAAAAAGAGCACGGCGGAGGTTCTCTGGGATCCAGATGTGCTATCCAGCGTTGGAACCACAGCAAACACAGCATCTAGCACCTGGGCTTAGAGCGAGATTTACTCCTAAAGCACAACTCTGCAACTTGAAATCTGTGAGGATTCCATTTCTGAAGAGGCTGGCACAATAAACAAGCTGCCAGGACAGAAGCTTCTGGGCGCYGGGCTGTTTGAGGGACAAAGGGAGCACTGTTTGGGAGCGGGACCCTTCCGTGGCCGGGCTGGAATCCCAAAGGGTCTGAGGGACAGGGAGGTCTTAATAAAGGACCCGTCTTAATAAAGAGTTTTTTTTTTGTTTTAAAAGGGTTTTGCAGCTTTTCCCTCTAGTGGAGGTTTGCTGGGACTTCAAGCACCTTATACACTACAACCAGAGACTCACTCCACATCCCTAAATGTGTCCTGGCATTGATGCCTTATCAATCAGGCTGATCTGAAAGAGAGCCCAGACAAACTTAAGAGAATGAGAATACACAACTTTAATCCAGGCCTTACAGGCCTACTGGTACATTAGGGCAGACAAAGCCTCCTCCTGAGGCTACACCCAAAAATGGACACTGAGATCTTCACCTTATTAACAAATTGGGTGTTAATTCTCCAATGATCTTTACAGGTGATGATGTCACCCACCCCAAACTCGCTGTTGTTTCCATATTTTGGGGCTCTGAGGTGTCCTTGGATTCAGGCTCAGAGAGGAATTGTTTTGTCTAAAGATGAGAGAATGGGAGTTTTTAGTGCTGTACTAGAGAAGTACAAGAATACAGACACATGAAAATACAGAAACGAAAAATCCTAAGGCATCAGCACAGGGGCCTGGAACGCTGCTTGGATAATGATTGCTCTCAGAASAGTGAGGGCTCAGTGTCCTCTACAGGCCACAAACCTGCTCAGCCAGAACAAGCAATCAGACACTGAATAATTCAAATGGCAGAAGTCACTCTGTGAACTCCTGTATTTTATAATACCAAACCAAACACGAACCCGTGTTACTGTGGAAAGGGGCTTTGGGTGAGTTCATAAAGAGTTCAGGGAGCAGCTCACCAGTTCATGGGTGTGGAGAGCCTGAATGAGCAGTGATGTCCACCTGCAGCACGGTGGAGTAGTAATTTATACTAATTTATACTAATTTATACTAATTTATACTAATCTCCCAGGGACAAGTTTCACATTCTTTCTCCCACTCACCAGTTTAATGGGACAGGAGGAGCTGATGGATGAGGGGGAGAAAACCGAGGACTCAAAATGGATTTACTGAGCAAAACTGAATTCCTGCTTTTGACCATTTGTTTTGATTTTCTTAGAAAACAGCTGCATACCCTTTATTCTTTAAGGCTTGTTGTTTATGCATATAATCTATAATTTACCTTTTGAATTACTGTACAATGTACTGGGGTCAGTTAACTCAATTATGCCATATTTTGCCAGGCTCATGGTTTAGCATAGGAAAATGGTCCCAGAACCATCCTGCTGAATTTTATTACCCCACTAAAGRGGTACTTGTACAGTTCATGTCAAAAAGAAAAGAACAGTCCTTGGCCAAGCTCATGGGCTCTGCTGTTACTGCTACTTCCCTCTACCCCTTGGGCATCAGGTAGCTAAAAAATCCAACAAAAAACCTAAGGCATACTCAGGAACAATGAGAGAACACAGCCCTGAAATGCTGTTTAATGTTTTCCCTGACTCACCATTTCTTTTTCTCCTTTATAAATAGCTGGCTCTCTGTATTTAGTGCTGCATCATTATAAGAGATCAAATTAAAATAATTTTAAGACAGGTTTYTGTACTTCAGTTTCTGGAAATGAAACAAAGATTTGTTAGGTTATCTATGGAAAAGGCAGTCAATCCAGAGCAATAATTCTGATTGCMMTAAGATACTTACCCAGGAGCTGCTGTTCCCTTTTGAAAAGCTGTGTGCATTCAGCATCGTGCCTCACTTTTTTTTTTTTTTTTTTTAAAGGTAATGAGCTATAACTTCTATCTGAAATGCAGTCCTGTTGGAATCCTGGAAGTTTTGGTACATTCTCTGCCTATCTTCTTCCCTAAGTGTTTTTTTTGAGAAAACAACAATCAGCTCTAAGAGAAAATGACTCATTTTATATTCACCTTGGTTTGGGAAGAATCTTAGAGGGCCACTATTTTTTTTTTTTTTCTGCAAGCAAGTTTCTCAGAGAAGGCCTACCATGGATCTTATGGACAATATCCACACCATGGGGGTTCAATTCTCTGTGTGAAGGAACAACAGTTGTAAGAATATCCAGAGTAATTAATTGTAGCTGGTGGGCAAAAATACCAAAACTCTGTGGAGCACCATTTTCCCCCCATGATATTCTGGTCTAGCAAGAAAGAGAACAAATGAAAATATTAAAATTCAGGTCAACCCCACCTGAATCACAGCAGTCTCTTTGTTACCCCAACAGTCTGGCTCCTCACTCACCCTAGCAGTTTTAGATCTGGCAGATATGYTGTACAAATTAATTCAAACACTTAGAATTAATTCTAACACTGGTTAGAACCCAGAGCTAAAAAAATCCAGATCAACCAGACATGCTCAATTCATGCACCACAGTTGACCCCCCTCCCCAAACTCCAGAACAATATTTCTTCACGTTGCAAGCAGAAAATGTAGTTTAAATTGCCAATTTGTTTCCAACAATCTAACTTTTCAAGACTTAATATTATAATAACAAATGACTAAGCATTATAAGGTTTTTGTTTAAAAAGTGTTTTCACTTTAATGGGTTTAGTTAATAACATCATGAATGGTACAAAACTGTCCTTTTTCACATTTCCATACATTGTATTATGGACCA